TTTTTTTTTTTTTTTTTTTTTTTAATTTAAAAAAATAAAAAGTAACATTTAATTTATCAACTATCTAATTAAATTTACCCATGTGGCATTGCCTTTAAAATTAATATTTACTTTTATCTTTTTCTATACAAATTTATTACAAAAAAAATGCCTTTAACATGTGCTTTTAAGACACAAATTAAAAAAATCCTTTGCAAATTTCATTTTGTTTTGAGGGCCATCTTTGTAGGAAGTTTTGAAAAGGATTATTTTTGTTATGTTTCTGTCATTTTGTAATATTAATATATTTTTAGGATTTAGCCAGCATAATCCCATTTTGATCAAAGTGGAATCAATGTTGAAATAGAATTAAACAAATAAGCAAATGGAATCCTTATTGTTTTAGTCTTTATAGTTTTATTGAGTGCTCCATATATTCTCATTTTTTAATAGTTTTTCTTTTCACATGAAAGATTTTAATTCACTTATCATCACTACAGAGCTATGATTTTTTGCTATTCTTTCTTTTCTTTTTTTTTCTTGGTTTGCTTTTTTTCTTTTCTTTTAAATTTAGGAAAGTGATTGGCTATAATCAGGTGTACTTATGTACATTATTTTTGAAATTGGATTTTGTGTAGAAGTTGGTTTTGGCATTCTCATAATACCACTAATTTTTATTTAGCTATAAGAAAACATGCATTTAACAATAAGATTTAAAATTCTATGTGACATTCTTTTCATGGTGTGGAAGGTTTCATTTTTCTCACTTTTTTGTTTTTTAGTTTGTTACAACCTTAAAAAAAATAGATAATTTATTTGGAAATTAAATAGATAACTAACAAATTATTTAATGATATTATCATTATTTAATATAGTTTATTAAGAGTAAAATGCTACTTTAATATTTTATTATTTATTTCTCACAATAAATTTTTAACTATTATTTTTCTTTTTTTAGAATTCAAATACATCTTGATAACGCAAAATGGGTTGAGAAATACTAGTAACAAGTAAAAGATAAAAGTAAAGCCCCAAAACCAAAAGCTGGTTCTTAAACAAAAAGGCTCAATTCAGTCTAAAGGGTAGATCAAACATGCTGGCTTTATATTTTTTTCCAAAAAGGGTATTCTCGACTTACTCTTGGCCCATGCAGGTCTCGAACCTGCGACCTTCGCGTTAT